GTCACTGTTTCCGAACACGATGTCCTCCACCTTGTTACATGCTGTCAACCAACAACAGATAAGTACAATGTACATGCATGAGACTATATTATCAAACCATGGTCGTTTTCAGCACAAGGTTCTAAGTTATAGAAATAACATAAGGAGGGGAAGGTGAGCGCAACCGAGATAAGCACGAGCTGAAAGTCTCAGCTTCCAAGTTGGAAGGCTGTTGGAGTGCGCATCCAAGATGTGCTAGGCTGTTAGCCAGTTAGTTAGTTGTAGAACGTCAGTACCGTTGGTCAGTGTCGTGCAATGTTATCGCATGAGCTGATTGTTTAGTAACTGGTGGTGTTAGTGGATATTATAGTGTAACTTGTAGTTCCTTGGTCCGTTTTACTTTTTATATAATCCTTGCCTCTCCATCCAAGTTCAATCATCAATATACTTTGTTTTTGAAGTACTTATTAGGAAAAGGAAAAAAACTTGGATGTTGAGCCAATAGTAATTATGTAAAGAGAAAAGTACACTATCTGACTGTATATTATCTTGTTATCTTGGTGGACTGTTAGTCATAACTAGTAACTTATAGGTCCTTTTCTCCTTACATATACGTATTTGGATATTGTATTGTCTTCCTGTAGGTGAATCCTGAGCTTGTTTGGAAAATCTTCTTCCCGCATTGCTGCCAGACTGTCCTGCAGCTAGCTGCTGGTGAGTTTTGTTCTAAGATGATGTCGGAATTGCAATGTCACTACTTCAACGTTGCTACTCTTGTAGCACATGCTTATGGCAGCGCAGCTGCTCTTGTTGCTGCCGCTGTTGCTGATGTTTGGTGTGTTCCCTTCACTATGCCTGGCACCCTCGCCTTCACTAGGTTGTCAATTGAAACTGCCCCAGTTATTAATTAATTGTATACCAGTGTGCCTATGTGCCTGTAGAGAGGGGTTTCCATCGACTTTCCAATTGTGACGTGCTCTTTGAAGTACTCTACACTTGATTTGTATAACATGACCTGGTTTTGTGGGTGTATGTGTGGATGTGTTGTGCAGATGGTGATCCTAAGTCTGAGAAAGCAGATCACGACCTGATATGGAACTTGCAGCTCATGACTTCTGTAAGCTTCTTGTACATATAGGGGGAAGTCCCCAGAGGCTTAGCAGAGGGCTTACGTGCCAGGTTCTTAGTTTTGGCTCTAATCCTTCTATCTGTTCCAAGCACCAACACGGCCCATGTACATATTACACATTGATGACCTCACTGACTTTGTTGCGGTTTTGTGTCCAACCTTTTGCTGGTGTTCCTCTTTGCCATGCTGGTTTACATGTGTATAGTGTGCATGCACTGGTGCAATGAGTTTGTACTTCGAAGTAGGACGGTGTTGAGACTGGCATACATCATTGCTGTTTATGTCGACATTGTTAAAGCTAGGAAATGGTGTAGATCGATGCGGTGTATGTTTGTGTTGTACCTGTTGTAGCTTGGAAATGGTGTACTTGTAGATCATTGTTGAGTATGTTGGTGTTGTTGTAGCTAGGAAATGGTTGGGGTCATTGCTGTGTATGTTGGTGTTGTTGTAGCTAGAACATGGTTTAGATCATTGCTGTGTATGTCGGTTCTTTTCTGTAGCTTGGAAATGGTGTGGACGAGACGGCACTGTTGTACAAGGAGGAGATTGTCAGCTTGCTGAAGGCTACATTGCACATTCGAAACAAGGAAACCTACTCCATGGCATCTGATGTGAGTTCTAGCAAGGGATGATCCACTGTTATTATTTTCTAATCTGCTGGTTTTCAAGACTGTCTACTGACTGGAAACTCTGCTGACAGATGACGTGGTATGCAGAGGTGCTTGTAGTGATTTTTATGAGTACTAGTATGCTGTTGCTGTTGTCACTGACAACGGGCCCAGCCTATAACTGATCCAAGACAGCGTATTCCTCATTCTACGCATTGAGCTACAGTTGGGCTAAAGAAATCCTACTCCCATTTCCTAATCAACCGTGTCAAGACATGCGTATGCGTGTCCACATGGAGCGTGTTCACGAGCGCATTCATTCATAGTGCTGGGGAGGGGGGGGGGGGGGGTGGTGCCCATTTCGCCCTTATCCCCAGCGTTGTTGCCCCGCAGAGTGGTATCAGCAAGACAGTTGCAATGTAGCAGCATATTGGTTCAGGTTGTTTCTTATTGCTTGTCCTGTTGTGCCTATCTATTTGGTTGCATGTGTATTGCCACCGCCATGGTCAAGTCTATTGTGGGGACTGCATGTGCATGTTACGCCATTGCTCTAACCCCATCTCCGCTTTGCTGCTGTTGGTGATTTGTCAATATGTTAAAGTGTATTTTATATTATCTTTTACTCTGTCCTTCCTTGCCGTATTGTTCTCCCTGTCTACTTACCTGTCAGTTTCTGGCTGGTCTCTTAGGCTCTTTGACAACGTTGTTCTGCACGGAGAAAAGAAGCACTGAAGAAGACTTTTCTGCTTCGCCGGAGGATCGTGACTATTTGAAGGTACATTCAAATCTCTCTTACCCACGGCTGAACGTTACAAGCGCCCTGGTCTACTGACCAGCATTTTCATGGAAACTATCCTTAAGCTATGTAAATGGTTCTCAGACGCATGCACTCTCTGCTTTACATGCATATTAACGCATGCATGTTGCAAGCTACAGATTCTTTGTAAATACAGGCACTACCTCCACTGCACTGCTGGGGACAAAGAGATATTATGAGTAGGGGTGAAACGAACATCGAATTTTGAATACGAACGAACTCGAACGAACATTCTCCATGTATTTCATGGATGAATTTTTTTTGAAGACCATACAGTCTGTCAGTACTGGCGTTCTCTGTACTTGGCTGGCCACAGTTCAGTATTGACGGTGTACGATACACTGCCAGAACAGAAATATTTTTTAATCGCGTCCGCCTGAGCTGAATCACAGCGTTTTGCAGCTAGCTGCAAAGTCCATCACCATCGTCCGGACGAGAGTTTTCTTCTCATCGCTAGCTCAGGTCGTCAGAGCAGGAGAACGGTACTTCTTGACGTGGGTACGGAGATTGCTCGTCGTCGCTCTGCTGTGTGATAGAACCTTTTTGAAATTGAGAAAAGGACTTCGTCTTTCCCGACCACTTTATCAAATTCCGCTCCAACTCCGGATCGCGATGAAAGGCTCGAATGTTTTGACATGATTGCAACGAGTGCACGTTTGCTTTCAGGAACAGATGTCACAAGCGACTCGAATCCTTTCACTACGAGTACAAATCTAACTCGGACACACAGAAATATTTCAAGAAACTTTGTCCCGACGCGACACTCAACTCCTTCAACTTGCTTCAAGTGATCATCAAGGCAAACACAGTCGATCAGCGTGCAAGCTCGCGATCTCCCAACCTACGCGGCTCCTTCGTGATCTAGTCACAAGCGATCTTTATGCTTGCTTGCTGTGTTCGTTTATCAATCTTGCGAGTTCGTTCGCTCGTTTTCAAATTTTTCGAACGAATATTCGAACTTTCGTTCGTTTCACCCCTAATTATGAGATTGGCTGCATTCTGGTTACTGGTTATCACCCTTGGTCTGATCCTGCTGCTGCTGCTGCTGCTGCTGCTGCTGCCGATGCTGCTACCGATGCTGCTACTGATGCTACTGCTGATGCTACTGCTGATGCTACTGCTGATGCTACTGCTGATGCTACTGCTGATGCTACTGCTGATGCTACTGCTGATGCTACTGCTGATCCTACTGCTGATGCTACTGCTACTGCTGATGCTGATGCTACTGCTGATGCTGCTGCCGATGCTACTGCTGATGCTGCTGCTGCTGCTGATGCTACTGCTACTGCTGCTGCTGATGATGATGATGCTGCTGATGCTGATGCTACTGCTGATGCTGCTGCTGATGCTACTAAGGCCACTGGCGAGCTGGGCGGCTGAGAAAACAGCAACCAGCAACTGCCTGCAAACTGCCTGCGCTCAGGAATCGTTAACAAACACTGGAAACCGAAAAGGAAGAATCAATACTGTTAGGTCCGACAGTTCTTCACTCCTATCACGATAGCGTGAAGCTTCCCAGTGCCCGAACTGACACTGGAAATATACTCGTGGTATGGCATGCGTGGGCATTTCCGGAGTCTCGTGACCTGCAATCATGACAACCGTGCCTCTCTGCCAGCACTTCCCATCAGTGTGAATGTACCCTATTGCTACTGCTGATGCTGTTGATGCTGCGAATGTTGCTGATGTTGATGTTGCTGATGCTGCTGATGCTGATGCTGCTGATTTTGGTGTTGATCGTGCTGCTGATGTTGATACCTTCACGGCTCACCATGACCTTTCGAAATTCCAATTACGTAAACCCCCATTTCTGCATCGTGTAGCATATTAGGGCTGCACCTCAACTCAAACGCTCAAAACACGGTCTCATTGCTGCGGACGTCACTTTAAAACAAGTATTCAGCAAGTCTTCGGGCATGATCGGGCCATCATGAGGGTGAAAACAGTCAACAACTGACGTATGCAGCAGCAAATAGACTGTGTTTTGATTGTGTGAGTTGAGGTACTCTAGTGTGTAAGTGGCTGCAATGGAGTCTGCGAGTGCTTAGAAAAGTTTATTTCGTATCTTCTGCATTTTTTTAAATTGCTTGTTGATCTACCAGTTAAGTGTTGCTGCTTTCTTGGTCGCTCTCGCTGTTGTAGGATTGGGGTGCTGGCATGCACATCGATGATATCACTGTCAAGTGGCATGTGCCCAATGAGGATGAGCTGGACTTTGTCGGCTCTCTTTTGGAGGAGTTCCTTGATCCGGAGATAAAGATATTGCAAGACGTTGCTGGTGACAAGTGTGAAACTGAGATGGACAAGTATGCTTTCCTTGCAAACTATACAGTACTGCTATTATTGACTGTGCAATGCTGCTAGTATTGCTTGCTTGCCGGTAGAAGAGTTAGAAGCAGAATTGCCTTGCTATGAGCACCTTTCCCTCCCCCACCCTCTCTCTCTCTCTCTCTCTCTCTCTCTCTCTCTCTCTCTCTCTCTCTCTCTCTCTCTCTCTCTCTCTCTCTCTCTCTCTCTCTCTCTCTCTCTCTCTCTCTCTCTCTCTCTCTCTCTCCCCACCCCCACCCACCCTTTTTCTCTCATCACATGTTTACCAAGTGCTTCTCATTGCCTGATGTTCTGCGCCCTTTTATTTACTATGTGTTGACAGAGAGGAGTTACACCTGCGCTTGTATATCATCAACGCCTGTCTTGAAGGTGCGGCTGCAATCTTACCTGATCTGGGCGTCGGTCAGAAGCTTGTCAATGAACCAAGGTAACTTGACCAGCACGTTCTCTCTCTCCACTTCCCTTGTTTCCTCAACAGAAACAGCCTCTCACGTACCATGTGTGTGTATGTGTGTGTGTGTGGGGGGGGGGGGAGTGAGTGTGTTTGTGTATGTGTGTGTGTGTGTGTGCGCGTGCATCTTTGCGTGTGTTTACGATGCTCGTACATGGCTCTTCACGCTGGTGCATTGAGCACGATTTGAGTGTGTACATGGCTCTTTACTCTAAGTGCATTGAGTGCTATTTCTGTATGGACAAGACTCTTCACTCGAGTGCATGGAGCACTATTTGAGCTGCCCTGGTCGGCCCTGATTGTGTCTACAGAAATTTTCTTGACTAGTTTGAGGGAAAGACAGAAACGGGAAAAGTCTGAAGAAAAAAAT